AATTATTAAGATGATCTTATGCTGCATGAAAATAAAATGTAGTTGATCAATGAAGTTAATCAATGACAGACCTCTAATTAGTAGTTATTTACAGAAAATATTAAATATAAACTGGAGGAAGTCTATATGAACACGAGATTAACTATTGGGAAGAAGCTCTTCCCTGTAAGGGTGGTGAGCCCTAGCCAGGTTGGGCAGGGCTTGGAGCAACTTAATCTGGTGGGAGATGTCTCTGTCCATGGCAGAGGTTGAAATGAGATGATTTCCCATCCAAACCATTCCAGGATTTTATTCTATGGTTCTAAAATCCCTGTTGACAGGATTCTATTAAACCTTGTGCAAGTAGGAGCTCTCCTCAGCAGGAAAAGCAGTTTGCCTTCACAAGAAAATGCTTTTACGTTGTTGGGGGTAAGATGTAGAAATGTTAAGTGATGATAATGCAACTCAATGACATTCAATATTAAAAATAGTTCTGAACACTGGAATCTCTTTCAGAGATCATGAAAACACAGCATCAAGCCTGCTGCAGGATCACTATCTCGATTCATCTTGGAGAACTGGAAACAGTCTTGTAAGTATTTTTTTAATCAAAATTTTAATCATTGTTTTAAACACTTTTTTAACCTTGTAGCGAGGTTATCAGAGCTTCTGTATTCTCTCCTCCATCCATGTACATGCTATTTTACATTTTTAACCAGTGCTTCTTCCTTACTTTTAGAAACTATTTATTGTCAGTACTCAAGTACAGTGTGACAGAATTCAGATATTAAAATGTATTTTTGTTGTTTGCAGCCCTGGACACTGGACAGCACCATTAGTGAAGAAAACAGGGCTGTCATTGAGAAGATGTTGCTGGAAGAAGAGTATCCTTTTTCTGATTTGGTTTTATGTTTTCCTGTGGAATGCCAAAAAACCTCCTATTTCCAAAAGAACTGGACAAATCTTTCCTTCTTAAGGTGACTGAAGCCCTGTCACCTAGGTAGATTGCAGAAATCCTGCTGTAGAAACTTCATTGTTTGTTTCTACAGCTGGGTAATCCTGAAGCAGTGTAATTAATTTGATTATTAAAATTCCCACAAGTACAAATATCTCTGCTTCTTTGAAAACTTACTTAATGACTATTGCAGATATTATTTATCTAATAAATCACTTTCTGAAAAAATATGGCTCAACCAAAAGGAAGTAGAGAAAAGATCTATGAAAAGGTAAGATCTCTGGGAAAAATTCTTAAGTTAGCTGAGTAGAAATGAAAAGTCCTTCTGAAATAAGGTTATTGCTGGATATACACCAGCAGCACAATTATTAATTTTTATTTTCACTCTTGTGTTTGCAGCCCACATAAGAAAACTGGAAAAGTCATGTACGTACATTTTAACAATTGAATTGTGTTTTTAACTGTGGTGACAGGAAGAAATATTGCTGTGTGTAACAAGAGGCTAGATCAAACCAGGCTTTGGGGGAGTTTTTGGTAGCACAGTGGTCCTGATAAAAAATAGTTAATTCTAGTTGCCTTTTTACCTGAACATTTATGTTGCCTGCTTTGATGTATTTCTGTGCCTTGATCGCTTATGAATATTGAGTTGCCTTGAATCTTCCATCATAATTGAGAAGCTGATGTGATTCTCAGTATTTTATTTATGAGTCACATTCATGTTTAGAGCAATGCTTTGAGTTTTGCCAAAGATGGGGAATAGTCCTGTCAGAAGGTGCCTTGAGTGACTGGAGAATATCTGGATTTGGGACAGCCCTGATTTCTGCTTCCTGCATTCCCAGGGTGCGTTCACCTACAAAATCACCTGGCTGCTCCTTGAAGTGGACACCAGAGGAAAAAGAGCTGTTTGAACAAGGACTGGTGAGTTTGTTGATAGATAGATAGATAGATAGATAGATAGATAGATAGATAGATAGATAGATAGTATTTTAAATTGAATTAATGAGTTTATCTTGAACAGTAAAGTAGTTGACATGAATGAGCATGTCGTACAATCACAATGATGCATTAACTATGAGAAGTATAGTGTGTTCTGAAGGCAAATCAGGTGATAAAGTAAAATCCTTTACTGTTGTAAGGTCTGCAGAGATTATATGGTTGTGCCAGTTGTAAAAGGGTTTGCTTTTCCAAGCACAAGGATTCCTTGGGATAGTAGGCAGCAGAGTACTTGAAATATGTGAAGAAGATTCCTTTAGTGAAGAGTAACAATAATTCTTACTATTGGATGCAGTTTCCTTCTTGGTAGAACATAAATAAATAGTGAGGTTCTTTACCATGGGTTTCCT